TTAACAAAAAAAGCGAAATGATATCCAAATGCAGGCATCGAAACAAGTTTCTTCTCGCCCACTTCGACACGGCTGATTAAACAATTTTCTAATTAAAAATTTTGTTTTGACGTCAGAACTCATTCTATTGCTTTGTTATTGTTTTTTCTGTTAATTTTTGTATTTTGTATTTTTTAACGGTTTTTCTTGTTTTAAAAGAATAAAATATGGCTGATGATTGCCGAAGGGCATGAAACTTCAAGTACCATCAAAAAGTTGTATTTTTTCAAATAATCAAACTCTATTATTATTATATATATATATATATATATGTATATATATATATATGTATATATATATATATATATATATATATATATATATATATATATATATATATATATATATATATATATATATATATATATATATATATATATATATATATATATATATACAAAATAGACTAAATTAAGTTACTAGTACTAAATATTTAGAAAGGTGCTGATGAGTTTGGAGTCATAATAGGTCAAGGAAAATACATGACATCTATTGAAACACCTTCTTTCATAAGGTTGTGGATCCGTGAAGGAGGAAGGTAAATGGTTTTAAAATGAGTTTTCAGTATTCATTGTCATATTTAAGTGCTAGCACAAATATTTCTCAATAAAATATTTTAGTCGTCATTCTTGCAATGATTTGAGGGTTCATGGACTTCACAAAGGACAAATGCATAAAGATGGTTTTTACATGCTAGCTGATAATCAACCTGTTTATTGTGACATGACAACTACTGAAAATGAAGGTTGGACATTGATTGTTTCATCAGCATCAAGTGGATGGACACTAAATGAGGTATTTTGTTGATACTTTAATCTTTACCTAAGAAATGTTTTCTGCCTAAACTATAATTTTAAACAATAAAAGTATGAATCTAGTTTTTTCTTTTAAATAGTCATTTAAAATTGGTATATAACATAGCGATAATATGATGGAGAAAATAAAAGGGAGTTAATGTGTTTTAAAGTCAATATGTTTCAATATATATTCTATTTTTATTATGTATTCTATTTTTGAAAGTATGTTTTAATGGAGAGGAGCTGCATGAAAGTTTTAAGTTTGTTATGGTAGTCAAACCGTTTTTTATAGTTTGATAATATGATCTGAAAAATCAAAGTTGATAATGGAAGCATTGGTTGTCTAAAAAATTTATACTTTGCAATTAAAGCTTTTGAGTTTGTTTGTTTTTTGTTTTTTTTATTGTTATTGTTTTTTTGTTATAAAGATTTTTTTTTTATAGATATACTTTCTGTATTGTCATTTTTTTTTTTTAGATTTATTCACGTAATTCAGAAAGCCCTTCTTTATTTGACAATTTTTCCATTTTAAACAAAGCAAACACTATTAAACATTTGTCAAATAAAAAAACATTTAAATATATGATAGATGCTCAAGAAAGAAGAAGATGGGGAGGTATCTGGGAGTCACAAAAAGAGTATTCGTAAGGTTTTAAAAGTATTATGAAAATTTAGGTTGTTTTATTTTTTATTTTGATATTTATTTTTAATTTTTGCTCATTTTTTAAACATAGTTTGACATCTTCAATATCACAAAAAACAAAGTTTCTCAAACAGTTTGACACTTGGGATAATCACACTTGGTGGAAAGGGCCACAATCTTTCTTACCGTGGATAACAAAGGGACAAAAAGGTCTGTTAGTTACTAGTCGGCAAGATGTTGGTGGTTCAATTATATCAAATGATTCTTTATATTATCCATCTGAGTGGATTCACAATGAGAAAATAAATCCAGGAGTAATTTGGTACTGGCTAAATGAAAATGATTGCAACAGTAACTATAAACCAGGTTATTTTTGTTTATTGTTGATGATTTTTTATTTGAGTGATTTTTATATATATATATATATATATATATATATATATATATATATATATATATATATGTGTGATATATATATATATATATATATATACATATATATATATATATATATATATATATATATATATATATATATATATATATATATATATATATATATATATATATATTTATATATATATATATATATATATATATATATATATATATTTATATATATATTTATATATACATATATATATATATATATATATATATATATATATATATATATATATATATATATATATATATATATATATATATATATGTATATATATATATAAATATATATATATATATATATATATATATATATATATATATATATATATATATATATATATATATATATATATATATATATATATATATATAACATATATATTGTTTCTAAATTAGCCTAATACTGACATTATGATATCTAATATTAGACTGCTGATTTTTGTTAAAAAATGTATTACTTTAAAAATATTGTTATCATGTTGTTCCTACCAATATGAATTATTAAAAATATTTTAAAATATTTTAAATAATTCAGCACGCGTATTGAACAAAAATTTAGTAAACAAATAAATAATAAATAATATGAGTGTTAAAAATAAACAAATCTAAAAAGTAAAAATAATCTACAATAAAAAATGATTTTTTTCTAAATAACAAAGTCTTTCAAGCGAAAAAAAAAGTAAAAATAATTTTTCTTTGAGCTTGTCTGATTATACTCCTGTCTGTTTATACTGTTGTCTGATTATACTCCTCTTATAATGATGACAGATTTTATAACAAATTTGATACACGTAAAACGAAAAACGTTGGGTGCAAGTGGTGATTTGATAATATTATGACATTATGCAATATAAAATTTGATTTAATGCTTTTTTTGTGTGGATGTATTTAAGTGTATCTATTATAATTTAAATATATTTGGATATTTTAATGATCAGTGTAGATATATTGCACGATATATGATTAACGAAACCATTAAGTGTTGGTTGATTACCAATCGTTTATTTTATAACATATGCCCAACGTTTTTCGTTTTACGTGTATCAAATTTAGACTACACGATGGTAGAACTTCATAAATTGCTTATGCCACCTTTGCACAACAAGTTAGGCCTCAATAAGCAATTTGTCACTGCTCTTGACAAGGAGTCAGCATTATTATAATACCTCTGAGATCTTTTTCTAAAGCTTTCCAAGGCTAAGGTCAGGGCTGGTATATTTGTTGGACCACAGATAAAGAAGATCATAAAATGTGAGGATTTAGCAAAGCTGTTGAACAGGGCGGAGAGAGCGGCTTGGAGCAGTTTTGTTGCAGTTGTTCAGGGCTTCCCAGGTAATCACAAACCTCCAAACTATGTCTAGTTGGTGCAGATTCTCATGAAAAATTACTCCAAAATAGGATGCTGAATGTCTCTGAAAGTCCATATCCTTGATTCGCATCTTAACAAGTTCAAGGAGAACATGGGCACTTACTCCGAGGAGCAAGTGTTTTCATCAAGATATATTGAACTTTGAACGTCGTTACCGAGGACAGTATAACAAAAACATGACAGAGGACTACATTTGAGGGTTACTTCAAGAGAGTTAATCACAGAACAATTATAAATCTAGAAAATCTGAACATTTCTGAACCTTGCTGAGTGGTTTCTGTGTTTGCGTGATCTTTGTGCAATTTTTGTTTTTACTTGATCATAATGACAAAAATGAAAAAAATATACAATTTTCACAAAAAAATGAGTTTTCTTGGTGCTGTTGAAAAGTTTGTTAGACATAAACAATTGAAATATAACACTTAGAAACCAGGAACAAAAATTGTGACACATAGCATTATATGGTAAAGAAGCAATTGCAACAGCAAGAAAAAATCTAGAATATTTTTTTCAAAATGATATTGCCTCTTAAATGATTAATTTCTGGTTTTATTTGAATTGTTGTGGACTTCTATTGAGAATTCGCCAACCGAGTACCAAGAGGCTGTATATCCAGTTTTGACAGAATATGAAATTCTCACAAAAAACAAAGCAGTCAAATGAAAAGTCACAACTGCACTAAGTCACAACTGCACAAAGTTGTGCAGTTGTGACTTGCACAACTGCACAATAGTCACTCAAAGTCACAACTGTACAAAGCAGTCAAATGAAAAACACTTTAAAATAAAGATACTTAAATACTTAGCAGATAAACCATGGAGTGTTAAATACAAACTGAGTTTAGTTCTGCATGGAAGTTGGTAAATATTCTCAACTATAACACCAGGTATCAAAATTCAAATAATAAAAAAATTGCAAATGATATCGGTCTTACAAACATTCACCTAGTGTTTAATGTTAACTGTTATCAATTTTTGTTTGCGTCAATTTTCAGCTCTATTGACAACTTGGTTCTGCATCAATTTTTTTTGAACTTTTTTTTCTAACTTTTGATCTGATAAAAATAATTATTTTATAAATTTTTTATTTGCATGCTGTTGTATTTAATTTTCAAGTAAAATAGAATGTTTGGATTAGTTTTTAATTTATATTTACTATTGCAACCAGCTTCAAAATTGTAACCAACATAAATAAGTATATATATATATATATATATATATATATATATATATATATATATATATATATATATATATATATATATATATATATATATATATATATATATATATATATATATATATATATTTTAATCTGAAAGCCTGAAACCAATTTTGTTTTATTTATTACTTGTATGATGTTTGCATCAACAAAACTGAGCCTTGCAAACAAAAAAATTGTTTGCAAGGTTCAGTTTTGTTGAAAAGCATAAAACCAAAAAATGTTTTGCAACCTTTTTTGGTTTTATGCTTTTCAAAACTGCATTAAAATGTTTTAAAAATAATTTACCATGAATTGCTAACAACTAGTAAAGGGTAAAAATAGAGTCCAGGTCTCACCGACACTGGAAAAGCAATTAAATTCTAATTTTAAAAAATTACTTCCTCTTAGGTGCTTCAAACACGGGAGGGGACGTTTATTATAAAAATATATAGTAGCCCTAAAATTTGAAAATTGAATTGCTCGGAATCACAAAAAGTGGAGATACTGCCTCTCGGTTCTCACCTGACTAATTGTCATTTTTTACCAATTTGCATTTTTTCAAGAAAAGATGCAAGTTGTTAATTTTAAAATAAAAACTTTATGCAATAATAAACTTGTTATTAAGTTATTTAAAGGCACATTTATTTGTGTTGTTATTAATTAGTTGTTAATTTAAAAAGTTCTTTAGATTTATTCTATATTAACTTTAATTTGTTTAGTAATTTTTAGTTATTGAATTTTTTTTTTGGATTTTTGTAAAAATCTGTTGCTTTAATTTGTATTATTACTTTATTTAAGTTGACGGTCAGCTAAGTCCTTGGAGTTCTTGGTCTACATGCTCTTCATTTTGTGGAGGTGGGAAAGAAGAAAGGAAAAGATACTGTATTCCACCAAGTTGTGGTGGTTTGCCTTGTTCTTTGTCTACTATCGACTATGAAGAAAGAGCATGTACAGGAAAGTGTATTGGTGAGTTTTTTTACTTTTTTATCTAACAAAGCTAGACAACGATTGTTGTTAGCAGACAACAATTACATAGGTGCAGACTATATGTGTTTAGGCTATAGACAATGATTGTTTTAACCTTACTGGGAATTACTAGAAAAAATTAAATATTTGTATAAACAATGCTTTTTGTATAAACTTTTTTTTGCAACTGTAACCAGAGCTTGGTGACAATTGCAAAGCAAATTACATAAATCAGGAAAACACAAGAATTGGAAAAAATGACAGAATTTTAATACAGTAATGCACGCAGAAAAATATAAATAAAAATTTAAGCACATTGCAACATTAACAGAAAAATTATTTAATAAAACTAAATGATTACTCTCGATAATGAATTCAATATAAAACTAGGGATGACTTAAACAAATTATTTAAATGATTATTTAACGAGGGCTGATTTAAAGAGTTTATTTGAGAATACTGTGACTGAATTTATAAGAAAGTGAAAGAGACAACTTTTCTGTCCTGATTTGTATATCTAGAACAGGTTAAGTGATACTTCAATGCACCTTGTTCAAAATAATACAACAAAAAGTTATTCCATGTAACTTTTATTTTGCATTATTTAATACAATTTTATTTTGCATTATTTACATACAATTCTAAGAAAATATATGTGTTTAAGATTAAATAAGTAATAAAAGATATACATATGTTTTTAGATTAAATAAGTATTAAAAGATATACATATGTTTTTCGATTAAATAAGTATTAAAAGATATACATTTGTTTTTAGATTAGATAAGTAATAAAAGATATATATATGTTTTTAGATTAAATAAGTAATAAAAGATATACATTTGTTTTTATATTAGATAAGTAATAAAAGATATACATATATTTTTAGATTAAATAAGTATTAAAAGATATACATTTGTTTTTAGATTAGATAAGTAATAAAAGATATACATATATTTTTAGATTAAATAAGTAATAAAAGATATACATTTGTTTTTAGATTAGATAAGTAATAAAAAAAATACATATATTTTTAGATTAAATAAGTATTAAAAGATATACATTTGTTTTTAGATTAAATAAGTATTAAAAGATATACATATGTTTTTAGATTAAATAAGTAATAAAAGATATACATATGTTTTTAGATTAAATAAGTAATAAAAGATATACATTTGTTTTTAGATTAGACAAGTAATAAAAAAAATACATATATTTTTAGATTAAATAAGTATTAAAAGATATACATTTGTTTTTAGATTAAATAAGTATTAAAAGATATTCATATGTTTTTAGATTAAATAAGTAATAAAAGATATACATATGTTTTTAGATTAAATAAGTAATAAAAGATATATATTTGTTTTTAGATTAGACAAGTAATAAAAAAAATACATATATTTTTAGATTAAATAAGTATTAAAAGATATACATTTGTTTTTAGATTAAATAAGTATTAAAAGATATTCATATGTTTTTAGATTAAATAAGTAATAAAAGATATACATATGTTTTTAGATTAAATAAGTAATAAAAGATATACATATGTTTTTAGATTAAATAAGTAATAAAAGATATACATATGTTTTTAGATTAGATAAGTAATAAAAGATATACATATATTTTTAGATTAAATAAGTATTAAAAGATATACATTTGTTTTTAGATTAGATAAGTAATAAAAAAAATACATATATTTTTAGATCAAATAAGTATTAAAAGATATACATTTGTTTTTAGATTAAATAAGTATTAAGAGATATACATATGTTTTTAGTCACAAAGATACAACTTCCAGGAGATTTATACTGCATTGAACCTGACTCTGGTGGCTGTAAACCGGCTGACAATACTGTTCTTGTCTTACGCCCAAAGTCTACTTATTGCAAAAGTAATTTATCTGATTTTGTTTTTAATCCGGCAACAGGTTCCTTATTTCATAATTGTAGTGGAAAACCTGTTTGCTCAAGAGATGGCTACAAAAGAGGTCATAAAATGGTTCTTAGTTCTCTCTGTCCAAAACCTGAATTGCGAGTTAAACTGCAACGGACTTTATGTATGTTTCTTTTATAATATTTATAAAATAACATATTTTCTATCAATTTTTAATGCCATTAACCGTATTTTTAGGGCACTCAATTCAAGTACTAGATGTTTGCCTTGACCCATTGGGCAGTACTTTAGGAAACAACGTTAATTTAGGGCTCTGGGGAAGTTGCCATGAGGCGAAACGCAAATTTTTGATGCCAGGATTAGGCAAGCTTGATATTTATTGTTTTATTATTTATTTTTTATTTTTGTTGCAATTTAAGAGTTTTTGAAGATTTTGATTTTTGTTTGAAAAATATTCAGGGGATGGTCCAGTAGTTGTCACATTGTTTCAAGATGTTGTTAGCTTACCAGCTTTTAAATCTGATTTACGTTATCCGAATCATCCAACAACAAAAGGTCGTATTGACAATTTAGACCTTCCAACGTATACTTTTTCTAAAAGTGGAATTCGTATGTTTACTTATTTCAAAGCTTCTCAATCGGGTTTTCACACGTTTGTTATTTCTTGCGATGACGTTTGCGAGCTGTTGTTTGCGACTGATGCATCAAACCGCAGTTCAGTTACAAAAATTGCAGGAACATCCGCTTTTACTGAGAGATTTCAATGGAATAAGTAATTATGTTTATATTGTTATTATTTTAATAGTTATTTATGTACTTTGCATTTATCCAGCCATTTTGATTTTGTTCAGGTACATTGAGCAAGAATCACCGATCGTCAATTTAACCGCTGATACCAAATATTACATGGAAATTAATTTAGTGAATATTGGTGGATTAGGTCATGCTGCTGTCGGTGTAAAAATGCCGAGCGGAGAAATTCTGGCACCTATAACTTATGACTATCTATACTTGAACAGCGAGTAGAATAACGAACTATATTTAAAATATAGTTCGTTATTCTAAACGACGTTAAAATTTTATAATTGATTTGTGTTTAGTAAATAATAGATATATAATAATAATAAATAATGAAGATATATTTAATGTAATATTATAATTTTTTTTTTGTGTTTTACACATTTGTTTACTTAGTGGTCACTTATCTGCTTATTTTTATTTTACGATTTGTTTTAAATTTTTTTTTTACCTTAAAGTTAGTAGTTGTTTTTTTAACTGCTTGGTTATGGTCTATTCTTGTTTTTTTTGCTTTTGTATAACCTTAAGTAAAATGTAATTATCAGAATGTCTATTGTTTTTTAGTGTTTAATATAAAAGTACGTACACACTAATTTAAAAAAAATCCTTATTAATGTTTATTTTTTTAATTTCATTTAAAAAAATAAACATTAATAACAAGCAAGTACTTGTTAATCACAATTAACAAGTACTTGCTTATAACTAAATGATTTTGAATAAATAAAACTAAAAAAAAAGAAAAAAAAAGAAAACCATACCGTCTCATCGTTGTCCATAATTTGCCAGCTAACCAAGAGAAAGTTAATTTCTTAAAGATCCTAGTTTGCTAATATAAAAGGATGCGTGGTACAGGGGAGTGGGTATAGTGTCTCTCCATGCACACACACCTCCCCTTATACACTTGCCGTGAGTAAGGCGAACATCTATTTCAAGCAACCTTTTTTCTTTTTTTTTTTTGCGTCTGCAAATAACAGGTTTTAGGCTTCGTTTTCAATATTACTCTTCTCGCGTAAGGCTCGTTTTTTACGAACTTAGTAAAGAGAAAAAACGTTCGCCCTAAGTTAAGTTCATTTTTATTTGGTTCATTATTAATAAAAAAATTTTCAAAGATAAAAAGTAAATTATGACTTGACTGCGCTTCGAACACGGGGACTTCGATGTGGAGTCGCTCGCATAAACCTCCTGGCCAAACAAACTTATACTACATTTGTAAATTAACTTTCTTAAAATTAATATTTGTGATATGTATTAATATTTGAAGACATTTATATGTCTTCAAATATAATTACGGTGCCAAAACTAAGGGCTTTGGGGCCCTATAAAGTATCAAGAGGGATCAACAAAAAGCGTTCTATATAATTATAATGGGGAGAGGGGTAAGTATGATTGGGATAAATTATAAAAGTGCACACGTTCTAATTTAAAAAAAATTTCTTGATTTATTCAGTTAATTAAGAAATACAGTTATTTCTAAAGTAAACTATTATAATTCATAAAAGGTGGAGGAAGTGGCTATTACAAAAGTGTACATACTTTTTTAGGGACGGAGGAGGGCTTGAAAGTACGCATCGCAGCAGTGGGGAGTGGTTCAAAAGTCTAAATTTTAAGCATACGTATTTTACGGATGACCCCTTATATAAAAAAGTTATTGCTTTTTTATATAAGGGGTCATCCGTAAAATACGTATAATTTTAAATTTTACTGCATCAAAATGACAGTTAACTGTGAATGAAATTTTTTCTTCGACATCTTTTTTATAAAATGGTAAAACAAAAAAAGAAAGTTTAGCGGTTGTTTAGTAAAAGTTTTTACCTTGGTAAAAATAAAAGGAAAAACCTATTAATACATTTACGCAATACATTATTATAACTCTATTAGTAATACTATCACTAATAGTATTACTAATAAAGGTCACCAATAAAGTCAAAAAATAATGAAGTGACTTCTGTGATGGTATTTACAAAATCACTACATAAGAAGGATAATAGAAAATATATAATTTTTTTTTAATTTAATAAACTTTTAAAAGATTTATTTAATGTTATATAAATAATTCATGTACTTGTTATGAAAAAGACTTATATACATATAATAAACAAATATTAAACTTCGTACAAACCTCCTTTAACTCCCCCTCCCCCCTATTTCCCCAAAATTGGTAAAAAAAAAATGAAGTTAGGTACCAAAAGTGCAGGAAAAAATAGGGAATAAGCTGGTGAAAATAAAGCATGTTAATAGAAAATGTATAAACTTAAGCAAAAGAATAGGAGAGAAAAAAATAAGAACATATCTTCAACATTTATTAGGCTCACGAAATGCATCATAGTTTTAGATGTCAATAAATTTTATATTAATGTTTCTCATTAATAAAAACAATATCCAACGCAATAAATAACGTTAAATATCATATCCAACGCAATAAATAATGCTAACATGTATTTCAATATAAATTACAAACCGATCACTATATGGAGTTGCTTCAATCTTTAGAAATATTTTAAATTATACACATTATAATGATCTTAAATGCCATTTCACCACAAAAAAAGAAAATATTAAAATACACATCACGAAGACAAATATGAATGGTTTGTTCAAGAGTTAAAAAATCTAAAAAAATTGCGCAACGATTATCATTTTGATTATACAAATCAAATAATTTGATAAATGATATCAATCTTTTAAATGTTTAAAAAAGCGAGAAGAGATTTTATTAAATGAAGAAAAAACAAATTATGCTAATAAACTTGATATCAATTTGAATAAAACTAAAGCAATGATTTTAACAAATAAACAACCAAAATACCACAAATTGAATCATAATAAGTAATAAGTTCAAAATTGAATTAGTTAATAAACTTTCTTTGCTTGGTGTCATTAAGCAAATTACATTTTACCGAACATATAAAAGAGATAAAAGCAAAACTAACTAAAAATTATTATCAATAACTAAAATATAGGGTCGGATTTATCTTGTAGGGAGCCCTCGGCAAAGTCATGGCTTATAATTTTTTTGTCAATTATATAAGTTATAGTTGGTTCTTTGAAAACTATATATTTTCTATGAACATTTATATAATTTGTTATGAAAGAAATTGGGGTTTTCAAAATAATTTATTTTTTATTGTTTTTTATTTAAAAAATTTTATTTTAAATTGGTTAAACAAAAATGAATAAACAAGTAAATATTTGTAACAGAAATTAATTTATCACACAATTTTATTTCAAATTAAAACTATAATACAATGATATATAAAACTCGACACAATTTTTATGTCGAGTTTTTTATATCGGTATAACTGAACATTGCTTCGCAAAATTATTTAAAGTCTCTTAAGTCATTGTTGATCTTAAATAGCTCATAAAAAAATTTTAGTTTTGAAAAACTCCTTTCACTAGAGCAAATAATAATCATCAAGCACAAAAAAAAATTCAAAACTATCTCTAGCTAGAAATAGTTTTGAAAATAAATAGAATTTTTTTATGCTTGATGATTACTAATTGCTAAAAACAAATTGCTAATTACTAAAAAAAATTTACATTGCATTTTCTAACCTAGCTAGGTTAGAAAATGCAATGTAAACTTTTTTTTTATTTAAACGACTTATGTAGGAATAAATGTGTCAAAATGTTTCCTGGAAATTTTTTTTTTTTTGAGATAGTGGACTTAAAATTTCATGAAATATTAATTCGTCGAATCTCCATGGTATTGCTTAACAACTTCTTCGACACTTTTCTTAAAATTCTCATCGGTATCAATTTATATTAACATCAATAAAAAAACCAAAAGGCGGGGTGAATAAAAAAAGCGATTGCGGTTTTGTAGTAATTATTCAGCTTTACGTGAATAACAACTTCAGCAAAATTGCTTAAGTTTTTATTTGCGTAAAGCTGACCAACTACTAAGTAAAGTAAAGCAATTACTTATTTTTATTCACTCGGCCTAAAATCTACGTGAGCTTCTTTATATGCCACAGGTTTTTTCCTAATTTGAATAGATAGTGTCCATAATTTTAAAAAATACATGTTTCAAAAAAAATTTTTTTGAACTCTTCACATTCTTATCTAATTCAGAATCTTTTCTTATTCGATGTATTCTTTGCATACCATCAAGGTAGCAATAACTAAGCTTAATATGGTAACATAGCCGTCTATAACAAAGGTCTAACAGGCCTAGTAAATGCATAAATAGTGCAGCCGTGGTGCAGTGGTTAGAGCACTAGCTTTATAAGCAGGAGATCCAGGTTCGAAACGAGCTTTGGACATATTTCACGTCACTGTAAGGAAGGAGGCAGAAACTTCCTGGTTAAATGCACTTCCGCGGTGCTCTGTGACAAGACCGTTAGGATTTCTTGGGGAACTTAAATAACAAATAAAATAAAAATAAAAATTAGAGCGTGGGGCCCAATAAAAACAACAATAACTAGAGAAAAGTATGAACATTTGCTTGTAAAACAAACGCTTCCATTTAATGTGAGTGAAATATAGCTAATATATTAATATTTCTTAATAACTAAAACCTATTTATTCATAACAAGCTTATTACAAAGATATATTATATAGTATATTTTAAAATGCTGAACTTTCGAAAAAACCATAAGTTGAACATATTTACTAACAAAAAAATTTGTAAAAAAGTTTATAAGATATTTCATAGATAAGGATTAAAATGCTAAATTTTTTACCAAATTTACAAAACAAACAGAAAATATTAGTAACATAGGAGCTGTCATGAGTAAAAAAAAACATACAAAAGGTTTACTTCAAAATCTTTTGTGACTCTTTAGATGACCTATGAGTAACTCAGTTTTTACTCGTTTTCATAAATTCAATTTACTTTAACTTAGCGCGTTTTCTAGATGAACTCCTCATATTTTGATGAAATAATTATTATAGTAATAATAGTTATAATAAATGGCGTATGTTAAGCATGTTATAACGGCATTGTTTTTTGCAGCCAAAATATTATAGTATTCATATTTATTTTTGCATATTATCATAATTTGGTCTTTGCTTTTAAAGAATATAAATGAATAACCCAATCATCTCATCTTAGGTAACCAGTTTCCTAAGATAATTTTTTAATGAAACTAAAAAACTAAAAATTGTATCTTTAAGGGCTATACTAAACTAAAAAGTAATACATAAAAACTATATAAAAAAATAAATATACCTTTCATATCTCTAAAACAGTTTGCAATACTTTTGAGAAATATTTTAAAAAAGCTTTCGCTCTTGAAATACACTAAAATTAATTTCCGTGGAGAATAACTTCAAAAAAAACCCTCTTTTCTTAATAAAAAGCCGCACCTGATCAAAACGTATCATCTTAAGCAACTTTACCAAGTACTATCATAATTTAATTAGCGCGACAACAGCTCCTATGTTTTTTGTACTTTTGAATTTTTTTTGTTGTAATCGTCGAACTTGAAAAAATTGGATTTGACTATCTTTTCGAGCATGATTGATTCTATTTGATCTAAAAAGGTCATTTCTACTTTCTAAAGCTTCTTCGGATTACACACCAACAGGGTCAATTGAATT